CAAAGGAGAATTCCAAATGCGCGAAAGACTCGGTAGGTATACAGAAGGCAATCGTCTGCATGCGCAGGACGCATCCTTGACATGCATGGATGGATGGTGGCGCACACTGCAGCACCATTTGTCGTTGCTGCTTGGCTACAGCTGGAGCGCCGCCTTCTGCTGCTGTTGCTGAGGAAGAAGGCTCATCACTCTCTTGCAGGCCATGATGGGCTCCCCGGAAAGCGAGATCACCGGGAGGTTGTCGCAGTTGCAGATCTCGATCATGAAGCCGTCCGGGTCATGGAAGAATAGCTGGTCCACGTAGATCCCACCTTCCTCCACTCGACGTTGGATGTAAGGGATTCCCATCTCTTTCAGCTTCCCCTCCACCATGCTCAAGCTCTCGCACTGCAGCAGGTAAGGAACGAACTCAGTCGACGCATCTTATTCGTTAGGTAACGCAAGATAAAATACGTGTCAATAGCGACTGATGACAACCATTTCTATGAGCTGTGTGTGCTGCAGCATCACACCCAGCCCTTTTCGCGACCATGTCAAATGATGATGATTATTGTGAAGCTCACAAGGCTCCAAGTTGAATTCTTTTGCTCGTCTTTATCTTGAACTCAGTACAATACAAAAGGCTTAGGTGGGTGTAGAGATTGAATCGTGATGACACTGATTTATCTACTACTGCTTTTGGATGTGAGTTGTCAAGCAATTCCGACGGTATCGATCACCGATCATACCCTCGTCTTGTAGCTATAGAAAGGTGTGAAAGGAAGCAAAGAAGAAATGCTTTTTCCTCCTCTGCTCCTCTAACTAAGAAACAGTCTACACAATCTCCTAAAATACTATGAAACGATTACCTGGAAGGAGATATGGTTGTCCTTGGGGTTAATCTCCTTCTTCCTCGGCATCTTCTCGGGGTCTTCAGATTGCAATAAGTGGATGCCGATTCCGTAGTTGAACAACCTGTGCATCAGAAGAACACAAGGAAAACCGGTTGATGGAAAGAGGAGACAGAATTCCATGAATTCTCCATGCCGAAGAATGAAATGTTGTGGCCATAGATCACGCCAGGAGACTAAACTTACCAGGCACCAGTAAAATCGAAGGATCCCGGCCTCCTGATGGGGAGGAAGCCGAGCACATTCTGGTAAAAGTCAAGTGATCTCTCCACTGATCTGCAGACCAAGGAGATGTGATTCAAGGAAGCCAGCGGCAGCGCGCCACCTTTAGCACCCAACATCTTGTGAAAGCTGCTTGTTTGATGGAGAGAACAAAGAGAGCTCGGAACGTGCTTTGAGGTGGATAGAAGCTATGTCGCAGGGGATATATATTGATACGCAACACAGGGGGGATTCACGACGACTGTCCAATCCGTAACGACGACAGGTTGCCTAACCTGACGTGGACGATGCATGTGATTATGACACGTGGATCCAACTAAGCACACGTTATCTATAGGATTCCACATTTAGTGTTGCCTGCTAAGCTCCAAGTCACCTTCTATATATATATATATATAGATAACATAAATTAGTTATCTTGCTGTACCATACCACCACATCGACATTCTGGAAATAGAAACACATAAGACAACGGATCGATTATTGAGTTGTTTTTGCTGTAAAATATTTGTAATAAAATTATCGAAAGATCATAATATCTGATTATAAATTGGTTCCTCAAAAATATTCGTAGGAATATTTTCAAAAGACTAAAAAGGTAATAAACCGATTTTCTATAGAATAATCGTAGAAATATTTTTAAAAACTAAAAAAATAATTTCAGATGATTATAAACTATTTTTTCTAGAAAAAAAAGTACAATCAAACATTAAATTAAGTATCGGATGAATTGGTTCGAAAAATCTCTTCTTATATCGATCTTTATACCCGAACAAAATAAGAAAAATCATGACTCGTAGAAGTAGGTAATTAAAATTGCAATCTTTAGTCTGACTTGCAATTTCTTTCGGATATTAAAATGTTATTGTCAAACTGATGACTCGTAGAAGCATGTAATTAAAATTGAATCAAATGCTCTATGCTTTGGATTTAAGTTCCCCTTCCTGTGTACAACATTCATTCAGTTTTAAATGATTTTATCGAGAAAAAAATATTAAGACAAATAAGATTATTTATTTCACTTTTAAATTATAGGGATCCTAATATAATTTTTTTAAATATAAATAAAAATAGAATCAAATTTTTTGGTAATATTTAAAATTTATTTTTTTTCTTTCGTTTGGAATCAAATTATCGATCGATTTTAATTTTGATTGAATTGGTTTACATAAAGCTGGGTGAATTGGATCGACAACAAATGTCCCTTTGAGCTCTTACCTAATAAAAGTTGCTCGAGATGAGCTTCCACAACACAAGATGATAGATTGTTTTGGCCACCACTTCGGTCTTATAATAAGTACTCTTACATAAAATCATCATACGCTTGCATCATCAAACATGCCCACAAGGCCTGACGACATATCTTATTTCTAAGCTATTGTTTAGTAGCTATACGAGTGTAAATCGAAGTCCTAATAACGTAGCAAAAACTATGAGACGAGTTTGCTGACAACAACGCATGCATTACCGCCCACAGAAAGTTAATTAGCATAGAACTCCAGTAATGTTGATGGCCTCATTTTGACTTAACTATTACTAATAGCTTGTAGTTCTGCAATCCCAGACTTTGGTACCATGTTGATCTGTGTGGAAACAGTGATATGCATCATATTAAAACAATAGTGGATGATAGTCTAGTATATTAAGAAAGCTTCATCATCAGTTGATGTACAAGTCAATCACTGTAGCCTACTAACAAGGGACATCAGCTCCATTCATTGACCTATGGCAAAAGATGTGACTGAATTGACTAGAGGATTGCTGACACAGCATGGCAATTTGGTTTTCTTCCTGAAGCTGAACAGTTTAGGCATCCAGTGAAATGATGCTACAATGCTCAATCCAAGCTTGTTATTTAGTTGATGACTCAATTCATATTCCAACAATCTCCAAGTGTTTCAAGACAAACATATAGATCATGAAGCTGCTCTCGGTAAT